CGTGAAATTAACAATACCCCGAGCATCTTAGAAAATGTCTTTAATTCTTTGAGGAACAGGTGTGAAAAGTGCTTGGAACAAGGAGGGGGACACTTTCAGCAGCTGCTTTAATTTATTGTTATAACAAGGAGGGGGACACTTTCCGCAGCTCCTTTAATTGTTTGTTATTGTTATCACGATTATTCTTTAAAATAAAGTTATATAGTCATTAACGTTATTGAAACTGACAGCTGCTATACAGCTCGTTGAGAAATGAGGTTAAGTTGGTCGCTATAAGCTACTCCCTACGTCCAATGGGTCAGAGCCAACTTCGACCACGTTTTTATTTGAACACTCGTTAGATTTTATGTAGTTTCCATGGGAATAAAAATAGTAATAAGAATTTTTCATCCTTATTGTTATTTACTATTCTTATTGTGCAAAAACATAAAAAAATTTAGTACAAACGTACTTTATGGAAGCTGTACACGTTATTGAAACGTACCTTTGCATTTTCACCCCTGTCATCACAGCACTGATAAAGTCGTGGTTTTTATTTAAAAAATAACCATTCAACCATTAAAAAAACCTACTTCTGACAAATTAAAAGAATCTGCTTTTACGAAATTTGCTACCATTTTTAAAATTTAATATGCACAAATGCTAAAACATTCCGTAGATGCAGAAACCCATCTGGAAGTAGCGCCAAGCCTGCTGACCGACCCATGCGGTGACGTCATTGCATTGCCACGGCTGGCAATGAGATAAATATTCGCATTTTAACCGCTGAAAACCGCTCAATGGATTGAGTTGAAATATTCAGGATCAAATAATCATGAGCAATACTTTGTGTATACAAAATAAGAACGTTTTTCAAATTTACTGAATGATTGGCATTGGTAAACTTTAGCAAAAAAGGGAATATACATTTTCTAGGATTCACTGTCGTAAATGTAGAAAATAATAAGTAAAAAACAATGGTACATTTGAAAATTGTTAAACAAACAAAACATCAACAAAATAAATTAGTGAATATTATGAATAAAATCATAAGATAACTTAACAACTAAATAATAACGCAAATATTATAACGACTGTTATACATGTCCCCCATTTACATCACCAGATTTTCTTAAACGTTTACTAAAGTTTTGTAGAACTGGAAACGATCGACATTTGTTTATAATTTTTTAACCTGAATTTGGAACTCCCTTCCAGAGTCCTTCTCTAGTATCAGGAACACTGCCACCATAAACCAGTTGTTTTATGTGTCCCCAATAGTAGAAGTCCAGAGGGTTTAAATCTGGACAGCGTGAGTATTATGGAAATTCACTTCCTCGACCTATCCTACATTGATGAAACTCCTGATGGAGATGGGTGCTGCTGACGCTGACAATATTGCTATAATGAGCCAGTGGAGCAACATATAAGAATCCCATTCTTTAGCGAGTCAGAAGAACTTTTAAAATTACCTAAAATTGCAGTCGCGGAAAGTTTAAGTACGCTGGTGTATATGGTCGAACTGAATACGCTTCTATATCTAATAGTTGCCTCTTCTTGTAAATGCTATATATCCTTTGAATATATGGTATGTATTATGCATTTGAAGAATTCTATTGCAGAATGTTATTCTTCAGGCCAGTCCAGTACCTACTAGAGGATTTTGTACAGGAAGTAAAGCGATTTACCCTAAGCTGTTGGGTGTGAACCACATCAGAAACTCCTGTGCTGTTCACCCTGGTAGCTGCTGAAAGTCATTTGATCTATGGATTCTCTTCAGCTGTATCCATAATTTCTTCTTCCTCATCAACTGTCATTGCTACAGAGTACCCATTTCTTCTTCATGGCTTAAAACTGCCACTTTCCTTTAATCTATCGAAAAGGTCAACAAAAAATGTGTGACTTGACTGCCTACGGTTTGGATATAATTCTTCATAACTTCTTTTAGCTGTCGCCAACTAAATCTGCCTCAAAAAAGACAACAATTATGTCTTTCATTTCTGTATTTGAAAAATTATTGCGGCGAGGGATTTTATAGAAATATGAAGAATATTTTTCTTTTTCTTAAACTAATTTCCGCCAGTATTATTATGAAGTCTAGTGACACTGATCCAAAGATCTACAATTAAGATAAAGGTAGGTTTTTACGGAAATATCCGTTGAACAATTTTCAGACTTGCCATGGTTTTTTTACTTATTATATAATTTTTATGTTTATCTACTACAGTAAATAAAATCCTAGAAAATTTATTTCCCATTTTTTTGCGAAAGTTCGTCGATTGTATTGCATGGTGCGAGAAACTTTTGCTAACAATAAATTATGGCCTAATAACAAAATATCATTTTTATAAAATATCATCTAAATTGAATATTTGTAATTTAAATTTATACATTTGATTAGTGTAAACAAATTTTAAAATTATTAAAAATCATACATTTAAAATATAAGATTCTCTATGATGTAGATTAAAGTGACTCCCTCTATATTATAACTCAAAATTGGCTCAATCAGTAAAAAAATGAAATTATCAAAAAAATATTAAAAATTTAACTTTGATCGCCAATAACTGTTTTCTGGTAATTTTTTATCTAAACAACAGTGGTACAATAGGTACATATTGCTTCATTATTCTCCATTTATAATGTAAGTAGTCGGTAGTATTTTCTTAGAGATATCGTATTAGTTTACTTTGCAATACGCAAAACAAAAAAAACAAGCAACGAAACGTGCGTTGAGCTTCACTTTATCGACTACAATGAATTTGCTAATGGTTTCGAAATTACTAGGTACTTGATTTAATTCCTTGGTTTTAACGACATTTAGTAACATTTCATGTCTATTTCCATATCAGACTTCAT